TGGTTGTTGCTTTCACTGCTGGCGATTGGAACTTTTAGAGTTGCACGTGAAAACAACCTGAAAGACCTCAACAAAAATGTGTGCACTAATGATCTTTAAAGATATATATCAACCTTGCAAATTGAAGAAAATTACTGAAAGGGGGATTCATGTCGAATGCATGGGCCGAGCTAGTTTGGCCCTGGGCTAAACAAAGACCGCTCAACCGTGCTGATATAGCTCGGTATGGGCTGGGCCAAGGCTCTAGATCAATCGTTAAGCTAACTCGAGATCCGAGCATGGACCAGGCTAGTTATTAGACTTCGGTCATAAGCCGAGGTCGGAGCCTTCGACCGGGCAATGTGAGCATAAGCTGAATATATGGAACTTGGGTGGATTGAATGTGGCAGGCCGAGTTGATTAGTTGGCTCGGCTAGAAGGTCAGTCTAGATTGAGGTGGGACCAGGCCAGGCCATGGACAGCTTAACGAGAATTCGCCACATGGCCTAATCAAAGTGTGAAGCGGAGATTCTACCATACCGTTAAGTTGTTTTGTCGATACTGTTTGGCAGTGTTGTTGCGCGCACACGTGTAATGTAGTACAAAGAGAGGATAATACATTCACGTGTCTAGGAAAAGACAAGCAGAGTGGTGTGCGCAGAAATTATATAAACTGTGCGGCACCTCCATATAACAGGTCTGAAATTCTTGCTATCAGAGCTAACTATCTTTTGTCTCCTTTCTTCCTCTCTTCTTCTCCTTCTACTGTTAGTTAGATTTTTTTTTTTCTTATTTTCCCCTCACTCATACGAAGGAGCAGACCAAGCCTTCTCTTTGTATGGGATTATGCTCAGCCATTCTTGGTGTATATATGCTGAGCCTCCCCCTTCCACTCCCTCTCTCTCTTTCTCTTTCTCATTATTCTTCTCACTACAAATCTCCTTAACCCAAGAATCATGATGTGATGAAATTTTCCAAGCTTACATGCAAGTTAGCAGGTGGCACTTCTGCCACCGAGAATCTGATTCTTCTCCCTTTTTTTAAAAAAAAAATAATAATAATTTATAACAATAAATATTGAACATCAATAAATTATTATTCTTAATAAGGTCTTTGTTAGTGATAGAATTGGGTTAATTTAAAACTATTTTTTTTTCACTATTATATATTTTAGGTAGATTCTGAATAACATTAATTAATTAATTAATTTTCTTTTAAGAATAATTTAAATATGGGTTTTCACAATCTACCCTCCTAAAAAAATTTCGTCCTCGAAATTAATTCGTACCTTTAGACTCGAAAAGTTAAGGGTAATTTGCATGCATCATATCTTCTTGCTCCCACGTTGACTCTTCCGTCTCACGATGTCTCTAGAGAACTCAAACTAACGGTATAGTTTTACCTCGTAATTTCTTCCCGCGATAATCTAAAATTTTGACAGGCTTTTCTTCAAATGTCGCGTCTTCATCAAGATTAATTTCCTCCCAATTGATGATGTGAGAATAGTGTGGCTCGTATTTCCGTAGCATAGAGACGTGGAAAACATTATGTACTCCAGCCAGTTGAGGTGGTAGGGCCAAATGGTATGCCACTTCTCCTATTTTGTCCAAGATTTCGAAAGGCCCAATGAAACGAGGTGACAACTTTCCCTTTTTTCCGAAATGAACAACTCCTCGACGAGGTTGTATTTTCAGAAACACATGATCTCCAACTTTAAATACTAAAGGTCTTCTCTTTTGATCTGCATAGCTTTTCTGCCTACTCTGAGCGGTCTCAAGCCTTTGCCTAATTAGTTTCACCTTCTCGATAGTTTCTTGAACTAACTCTGGCCCTAAAAGAGGTGCTTCTCCGACTTCTGTCCAACATATTGGTGACCAGCAAGGCCGTCCGTACAAAGCTTCATACGGTGCCATACCAATACTTGCTTGGAAACTGTTATTGTAAGAGAATTCGACTAGTGGTAAGTGTTTCTCCCAACTACCCTTAAAGTCCATCACACAAGCTCGAAGCATGTCTTCTAAAGTCTGAATTGTTCTTTCTGATTGACCGTCAGTTTGAGGGTAAAAAGCTATACTAAAACACAACTCTGTACCCAAGGCTTTCTGCAGACTTTGCCAGAATTATGACGTAAAACGAGAATCACGATCTGACATTATTGAGACTAGTGCTCCGTGCAATCTAATGATTTATCGAATAAATAATCGACTTAAAGATTTGAGTGTGCCTGCTGGTCCTATTGGTAGGAAATGTGCCGTCTTAGTTAATCCATCAACCACCACCCAAATGGCATCATGGCCTTGCGGCGACTGGGGTAATCCCGTTACAAAATCCATTGTTATGTGTTCCCATTTCCACTTAGGTATTGGTAAAGGTGGGAGTTTCCCTGCCGACTTTTGATGTTCTGCCTTCACTTGTTGACACGTCAAGCACTTAGATACGAATTGAGCAATGTCCTTCTTCATTCCACTCCACCAATACTATCGCTTAAGATCCTGGTACATCTTGTTTCCTCCCGGATGAACCGCAAAAACCGAATGGTGAAATTCTTTAAGTACTTCCTCTCTTAATTGTTCGATGTTTGGCACAAAAATTTTACCTAAATACCTTAAACTACCATCTTGATGGAGCGTCCAATCCGGTGAAAATTCCCCGGACACTAATCGAGCCTTAATGAAGTCGGTCTCCTGATCAAATCTTTGGGCTTCTAACACTTTGGTAAGAAGTTGGGGTATTGTAACTATTGTAAACAACCTACCCTTCCCATTCTGAGTCTCTGGTTGTAACTTAAACCCATTCGCGGTGCTTACCATTTCCCATTCTTTAATTGATATGTTGGCTACAATCTCTCTTGTCTTTCAACTTAGTGCATCTGCTACAACATTAGCCTTCCCGGGATGATAAGACAAGGTGAATTGGTAATCTTCAAGGTACTCCATCCAGCGTCTCTGCCTCATGTTCAAATCTCTTTGTGTGAACAAGTACTTCAAGCTTTTGTAATCGGTAAAGATCTCAAATTTTTCGCCATAAAGGTAATGACACCAAGTCTTAAGTGCATAGACCACAGCCGCCAACTCTAGATCGTGAGTAGGATAATTTTTCTCATGATTCTTCAATTGTCTTGATCCGTAAGCTACTACCTTCCCGTTTTCCATTAACACACTACCTAACCCTTCTTTAGAGGCATCACAATAAACAGTGTACCCAACATCACGTTCAGGTATGATTAATATAGGAGTGCTCGTCAGTCTCTTCTTGAGTTCTTGAAATGACTACTCACACACTTCGTTCCATTCAAACTTTACACCTTTTTTGCGTTAGGCATGTCATCGGCTTAGCTAATTTGGAGAAATCTTGAATGAATCTCCTATAATAACCTGTTAATCCCAAGAAACTACGAATCTCAAACGTATTCTTAGGTTGTTTCCACCCCATTACTGCTTTTACGTTAGCAGGATCCACTGATATTCCTGATTCAAGCACAACATGACCTAAGAATTTTACTTCCTTCAACCAAAATTCACATTTGCTTTAGCATACAATTGGTTCTCTCTTAGAATTTGCAAAACGGTTCTCAGATGTTGTTCGTGGTCTTCCTTCGATCGTGAGTATATCAAAATACCGTCAATGAATACTATCACAAACTGGTCCAAATAGGGGGTAAAAATTTTGTTCATTAAACTCATGAATACCTCAGGCGCATTCGTCAAACCGAATGGCATTACCACAAACTCAAAATGGCCATAACGGGTTCGAAACGCAGTTTTGGGTATATCTTCTCTTTTGACACGAAGTTGGTGATATCCCGACCTAAGGTCAATTTTGGAAAAACATTTTGAACCTCTTAATTGATTGAACAAGTCATCTATTCTGGGTAAGGGATATCGATTTTTAATGGTGACTCGATTTAGTTGTCGATAATCGATGCATAATCTTAAGGTTCCATCCTTCTTCTTCGCAAATAATGCTGGCGTTCCCTAAGGGGACATATTTGGTCTGATGAACTTCTTACTCAACAGTTCTTGTAACTGCTCCTTTAATTCTCGAAGTTCGGTTGGCGCCATACGATGTGGTGCTATTGAAATTGGTGAAGCCCCAGGTTGAAGCTCGATCGTGAAATCTACATCTCGTTTTGGAGGTAATCCCGGTAATTCGTCAGGGAAAACGTTAGCGTACTCGCGCACCACATGGGGTAATTCCGGATCCTTTCGATTTTCGTCTTCCAAAATTAAACTTGCCAACCATCTAGTCAGTTGGTCATGCCACTGCGACTTACGACACGTTAGAGTTAGAGAATCTTGTCTATCTCCTTTAAATTGAACTTTCGTGCCATTAAGGGAGGATGTTGTCACTGTCTTATGGTAACAATCAATAATGGCTCGATGAACTGACAACCAGTCCATTTCTAGGATGACATCAAAATTAGACATATCCATAACCCTTAGATCACATATCAAATATGAACCGGAGATTTCTAGTTCACAAGACTTACATACTAGATTTACTCGGTTTTGGCCCCCTAAGGGTGAAGCAACACTTATAGCTATCTCTAACGTTTCGGGTTCCAAACCCAAACTTGACACACATGCAATAGATATAAAAGAATGCGAAGCTCCGGAATCGAACAATACTTTAACCCAAGAATTCATAAGGATTAATATAACTTGAATTACTGCTGGGTTACCAACATCCTCTACTCCTTGGAGAGCATACATTCTTCTTACTGCCTGTTGGTTAGTCCCTCTTGGTTTCTTTCCATTTCCAGCTCCTTGTGGTTGTGTTCTTGGTCGGCCTGCATTTCTAGAGGCTTGTGGCTGCCCCTTGTTGGCTTCAGTATTTTGAGTAGGCTTAGAACCTTGCCCTGGCTGGCATTTGTTGTATTGTTGTGCCCCTCGCTGATCCGTAAAATACTCCCCACCCTGAGGACACTCACTTCGACGATGCCCTTGCTGACCACATCTGAAACACTTTCATTTCCATTCATTTACAAAGTTTCCTCCTTGCTAGTTTCCTTGATTCTGTCTTCATTGCTGCTGTAACCCTTCGGCATAAGGTGCTGGCGCAGGATGGTCTCTGGTGTTGCGGACTGGGCCTCCTCCGCGTAGTTGGTTGTTGTTCCTTGATCGCTGATTTCGAATGCATTCGGAATCCGCTAACTCCCGTTCCACAATTAAAGCTCGATCCACCATTTGAGCATAGGTAGAAAGTTGCACTGCGATCAATCTTCCTCTAATGTCTGTGTCCAAGCCCCATTCAAATCGCCTAACCTTATCCTCTTCATTTGCTACTATGGCTGAAGCGTATCGTGAAAGAGCTTCAAAACGGTTCGCATATTGAGCGATTGACATTTTTCCTTGTTTCAGTTGGAGGAACTCTTGAATCATTTCTTGTCTTAGCGAGTTAGGAAAATACTTTTCCATGAATAGGTCTTCGAATTGTCTCAAAGTTAATGTCTCTACTTGTCGAGTAGCTTTGATCATTTCCACCAATGATCTGCTTCCCCTTCCATTTGAAATGCCGCCATGGTCACTCTATCTTGTTCATTTCGGATGTCGGAAGTATCTAGCAACTTCTTATTTGTCTTAACCAAGCTTCAGCTTCATGGGGGTTTGATCCACCAAGGAATTTGTGGGGATATAGCTTTTCAAATTTTGCTATCATTTCAGATTTGTTTTGATCTTGGTTTCGGGGTGGTATATTGCCTACCCTATCAGCAATCGCGCGTATAATTCGAGCAACATTGCCATCAGACACTCCATCACCATTACCGTTGTTATTATTTCTTGTTCGTCCAGCCATTCTGCATGATGGGATTTTTTTTTTCCTTTAGTAATTCGTGATTTGTTCATTTATTTATTTATTATTATTATTATTATTATTATTATTATTATGTGCAAGGATAGTTAAAAAAAAAACTTCATTAATTAGATTAGATAAGCTACAATTAGCAAAATACAAATAAAACAAAGGAAAAGATTAAATAACATACTACGGGCAAAAGATAGCCCCTACAATCCGAGTTAACTCCTACACTCACAATTTTAAACTAGGCAATTTTACATGTGAGCAAACAAAACAATCGGTTAGCCTAGTTTATAATTCCCTTAAGACCCCTTAAAATAGCCTAGGAAAGTCTCTCCACACAAGGCATCCGGCTCCCATGTGGCTTGGAAAAGCCCCATGAATCGCCACAGCACCCTCACAAAGATAGCAGTTTCGCACACACGATGCCATAACAGCTGCACCGGCTCCTCCCAATAGGTCCTCCAGTCTCTGAAGTCCACTGACCCATATCTCCTCACAATTCTGTGTGGGTCGGGCATGATATACTGAAGGCTCCAAAAGTCAAAAAGGTCGCCCACCCTATCGGTGAAACCATTCGGGAAAGGGTCTAAATGATATACCCAAGGAGTCTCTTGTCTTAGAATCTGGATAGGTCCGATATAGGTACCCACCCAACTCTCAGCTTTTCAAGTACAATCTCCTAGGAGATAAAGTCTGACATATACAAAAAAACCAATCTGCAACCCATTTCGCACATCCCAACACTCCAACACGGCTCCTACATTTAAAAGGTTCTAACTTAGTTAAGTCACCGAAAATTACAAATTAACGTAAGGTTTTCTTAAATGTAAAAATAATAAATTACTACCCATGGAGTTGGCAATTAATTTTCTGTAAGGACTGTGCAACGCCCCAATTTTTTTTTTTTTTGAAACGTCATAAGATTTAAATAACAATAACTTGCTAGATAAAATTTTAACTACTAATTAGGAAATTTTAAATTCTTACATTGTCAAAGTCCAACAACAAAATAAAACTACAAGTTCACACACAACGTCACAACATAGTTAAACACTAATACAAGAAATAACAGGATTTTATTTTGGTAAAATCTTGACTCTAAGTTTGCCAAGGTTCGATATTAGCAGCAGTTCCAATTTCAGCCTCAGTCTCTTCCTCGACATAACTTGGCATGAAACGCCAGGGCAGCAAAATATATGCCATGAGTTTTGCAACACAGTAAGAAAACATAACCAACCTACCATTCTTTTTGAGAGAAAATAATGAGATTATAAACACAAGATAATAATATAATTGTAAACATAAATTACAACCAATAAAGTAATTCAAATAATTTTAATAACTTAGGTGACCTTTGAAATCTCATCAAAGAGGTTTAGCTTACCAACCACTAAGTCATGACCACGTTTCATTTGGAAACCCCCCCTGGTCAAATATTCAAGAACTACCAAAGATGCCCACGCCCGGAGTTATATACCCAAGCCATGACATCCGTGGTCTGCCCCAAGGGAACGATCTGCCAGGGGTACGTAACTTCCTTGCGTGCCACCCGCACATCCACCCTTATTCCAAAATCAAATACCGATAAGGGTTCAAATAATCCACGTGCCATCTTAGGGTTTCGCGACACAATTTACTTGAAAATTATTAAAAACCAGGGCTCACCCTGAATACCCGGTATTAATCCTTTATCAGTAACTTTATATATTAAACACAAATTATTCAATTCTCAATCACCAATAACA